CAGCCGCGGCGGGGTGGGGAGAAGGGCGGGGGCGCGCGGAGGACAGCGGGGGAGCTCGCGCCTCAACCCGGGCACTCAAAGGGGAGATGAAGCGGAGCGCCGAGTCCTCGCCGGGACTCGGGAGGCGAAATTCGGACAGACACCGGGTCGGCACACTATTTCTCCACCGGGCCCGTTATTCAACTTTCAGTTTGAAGTTTTTCGATTACAGATTTGTTTGTTTGTTTGTTTGTTTTGTTTTGCTTTGTTTTTACTAAAAGGAGAACTCGAACAAGTTACAGGGCGTCTTGGTAGAGACGCAGAGTAGATACTTCGCAGTTTATCCAAGGTGGGAAGAGAATTAATAGAAAACCAGAGGCTAGACACTAGGTGTTCTTTAAATATTAGCATACAGAGATATGTATATATTTACGTATGTAAACGCAGGTGCATGCATTTACACTACTACAATAATATGTATGCATTTATATTTATATACACGACAGATATTAATGTTTATGTAAATATATCTAACATGCTCCAATATACCCGTTTGTATAAACACATTAATCTATGTAAATATATGCAAACAGCGACAGCATTTCTATGCATCTGTGTATGTGACATGGGTGTTACCCTGCTATACACGACATGGTGTTACCTGGACTGAGTGCCGCACCATAATGGGAGGATAGGCAGGACTTCATTTCTTTTAGGTAGCAAACACTTGGTACCTCCTCCAACTTGGAGGCAGCCGATAAGCAGCTCAGGTAAAATAATGCAGTGTGAGCTCAAGGTACAAGACAGCTCCAGTGTGGAACCTTCTAGCTTTCTGCCCTGCCCCCCTTTACCAGCCTCCCTAGAGGTAAGGCTGTGAACAGTGATCAAGTCCCTTGTTTCCTTCAGTTGAAATAGTCCCCCAAGTTGTTATGCGTGAATTGAGGGCCAAACTGGACCCTCTGTGCATAATACACCTGATCCCCCAGATGATCCTCAAAGCCAAGGGCAGAAAATCTTTGAAAAAGGCCATATAGGCAGAATCAAGTTCTCCCCCTCCAGAGCTTTTGGGCCTGCAAAGCAGAGACGGAAAAAAGTAAGCAGGACCTAGTAATCTATTAGCCATGTGTATTATTTTTTCACTTGGGGAGCTAAAATGATTCTAGGTTCTGCTCAAGTAAATCGGATTAGCAACCCACAGAGGGGAATTAGGCACTTGCTGTTTTTAAAGGTATAAAGGTCAAATAAGGTATTTTGGAGGAAGCCTGCCTCCTAGGAAAATCAATGGGGTTTAAGCAAAATATTCAAGAACATGCTACTTTATTCCCTGAAAAAAGCTGCTATGGGAGTTGATTGTCGCTCTGAATCATTGGATACCAAACAAGTAGGCAATAAACATATTCTGCTCACAGACATTTAAGTCAAAAAGTATTTACAGTGCTGCTGAAACTATGTATTTCCTTCTCTATCAAGCTTGAGAAGCTAACAATTGTTTCTGTCATCGGTGAGATTTTAAAAACAAAACAAAATGAAACTTATATGAGACTTAAGTCAGTATGCAGCTTTTAAAGGCAAGGAGAAAGTTGATGGCTGTTGGACGTGCCCCAAAAAAAGAAGAAAAATAAATCTCTGTTGATGACATCAAGGATGTCTTGCAACACTAGGCCTTCCTATCTCAGGAAATGGGAACCTCGTGAGTTTATGAACTAATTTTTGATAGTCAAGAATTGAAGGGAAAATTGGCATTTCTGGGCAGTCTGTTCCATCTCAGGGTTTACCCATCACAGGATCTCTTTGATGTAGGGTATGTGATTTGCGAGGGGTTACTGAATACCTTTTCCAAGTCCAACTTTCCTAAACTAAACGCGGGCCCTATTTCTCTCAAGAGCAAGGCTTTCTGGTTGTTTTTTAGAGATGGCTGCCCTCTTGTGGTAGACATGAGTTCAAACGCTTGGGAAAAAAGAGTCCAATAATAGGCTCCAAACACTGACTGGGGTACACAGTACAGGATAATTATACTTGCTCATTTGCTAGGCAATTGCAATAGTCAGAAATGATAAACTCAATAAAGGCGACCTATTTCTTTTTATCCTCTTTGCTGGCACCACCTTCCGCTTGCAACTCAGGGTGACAGTCTCTGTTTGCTTTGAAAATACCATGCATATAAAGCCATGGTTGATGCTACCTTTTTCAAAGTTCACTTAAAGTTTTTCAGTCCAGAGAGTGGCAGGCATTCTTCCTGGGTTTCTCAGATTTGGTGTTATCCGCCAGCAGGTGTGGAGAGGGGCAGTGGTTGGAAGAGGGAGGTTGTTTGAGGGAGGAGTGGTGGTAGTTGTGAATGCAAATACCTCAGACAGGACTGGTCAGTTATGTAAAAAAGTGAAGCCTATCAGGTAAGGATTCTATATGAAGAAGATTGGTGCTATTTCATTTTGGTCATTTTTTGTCAGTTTTTCAAGAGACATTGGAAATCTCCATTTGATTGTGTGTGGACATGACCCAGGATGAAATTAAGTGTTTAAAGAGTCATACTTTGGCAACTTTTCCTTTTGTAGTTCAGCCCAGATAATGCTTAATTTTATTACATCCTGCAGCTATTAGCATTCAGCATTGTTCTTGCTAGGCCAACCATTATGCAAATTAACATGAAAATAATGACCCTCATGTATTGTAAAGTTCACAGTAGGCATTACATGATCCATCTACCTTGTAATTGTCATTTCATTGAAACCTGGGGCAACTCCCCTGAGAAACCTCTTGACTTTTTAGCATGCATATCACTTGTTAGTAGTGTGACACCGGACACCAATTGTATTTACTTTACCTGGAGGAGGTTCTTCCAGGGGACCCAGCAATCAAAAAACCAGCATCTGGTCAATTAAACTTTTGCCTATTTGGCATTTGTTACATATATTGGATCTTTGGGAAAGTCTCAATACTTTTTTTGCATAGAAAAACAAAAATATGCCATGACTTTCTAGACAACCTAATAGTAGGAAAGATGAGTGGAGTGAAATGATTTATACATACACAGAAGTAAGTCAATTTGGGCAAATCAGGTTGTTTTAGATATCTACTAAATACCACGTAATCAGCATATGTCAATATATTTACATGTCTTCTCAATGCTGTTAAAATATTTTGATCTTGTGTTAATTAGATTGTGAAAAGTCTCTTTACATATCTAGTCTACAAATATTTATTGAGCAATTGTTAAACCCATGGCATTATTTCACCTAAGTTTCAAGCTCTAATGGTACATAATCTTGCACATAATTTATTTAGAATTCAGTGGAAGAAATGTGACACGTTCACAGGTAAATAAGTAGAAAATATAAGGCATATGAGATAAAAATGTTAAGAGGGGTCAGCTATAATTGCTGTAAGTTTAATGAAGAGCCATTTCACTTGTGACATGTGGGCTCAATAAATTTAGAGAGTTTGAGAGGAATACTCAGTTGAATAGAATTTAAGTAGGATCAACAGACACCTGTACATCAAGCATCAGTGGCAACAGGATGTCCACATTACTGAGTTTTTATTTGTTGTTTCATTTGATCCTCACAGAAACCTTGCTGGGTGGGTGTTATTATCCCTATTTTACAGATGAAGAAACTGTGCTTAGACAGGATAAGCCATTTTCTCAAGACCACACAGCTAGGCAGGAGTCTGTTCCAGAATTTTCATTATTGCCCCATCTGCCTCCCTACCATGCTAATTCCATGCAGTGGGAGCAACCCAAAGGTTGGACATCAAGTGAGAACATGTAGACTGGAGTATGTAGAATAGAGTTGAGGAGTACAAAGAGGTAGTTCAAGTCTGTACGTGAGTTTGTTTAGGAAAAAGGCAATACTAGATAACTGTATTCTTCAGACACAGTCCCAACAGGAAAGGAATGGCATGTCCTGAAGGGGCAACTGAGGAGAGTTTACTAAAGAGCAGTTGTACAAAGGTGTGGCAGGAGTTGAGAAAAATGGCAAAGAATAGTGAAGTACCCCTGCCCAACACTGGGAAGCCAAACCACATTTTATAACCCTTAGATCCATAGGGGCACAGAAAGGGCAGTGACTAGAAGCTGAGCAAGCTGCAGCTGAAGGAGAGCCATTAGCAGAGGTGGGAAGCTAGCAGGCAACTAAATACCTCAACCTTTCTTTTCCTCTCTGGACATCTGCGGGTATTTCCCATTGGCTTAATTTGACCAAAAGGGCAAGTGTATTTGTTATCTATGTATAACAGATTGACATAAACATAAACGTAGTGGCTCAATATCCTTTTATCATCTTACTGTTTCTGAGAGTCAGCTGGTTGGTCTTTGTTTGTTTGTTTTTTTGTTTTGTTTTAGTGGGTGCATGCACTCATTAGCAACACAGAGAGAGACAGACAACCTAATAGTAGGAAAGATGAGTGGAGTGAAATGATTTATACATACACAGAAGTAAGT